TTTTTTTTTTTTTTTTTTTTTGCCTCCCCACTCCTCTGGGCGACTCTTTCTCTTCAGGTCCTCTCAGGGTAAAGAGGTTCAATTACTGAGGTTTTTATCTTGTAAAGTCTGAAATCTGTCCTAGTCAGATCCCTCTGCATTCAACCAACATGTAGCCATGCAAACTGTGCTTTTTGACAACATGTGTGTGTGGATGGGTTTTTCCTGCAACGTGTGGACAGTTTTCGCAAAAAATCTGCCTCGTGGGGACCGAAGTGAATCGTGGGGACCAATGCCAGATCCCCACGGGTCCAAATGCAAATTACAGGTGTGGAGTTAGGTTTAGGACCAAGGTTTAGGTTAGTCTTAGGGTCAGGTGGGTACCTGTGAGGTTAATTTTAGGGTAAATGGTCAGGGTTAGGCTATACATCCGTCTCGGACGGATGTACTAAACTGCAAATTCCTTGTGTGTGTAAACATACTTGGCCAATAAACCTGATTCTGATAAAGTCTAAAAAAAATGAACGGAAGTCAATGGAAGGTCCCCACGGGGTTCAAGAACAAACATGTATGCGTGTGTGTGTGTGTGTCAGTAAACCTCCCATTCAAGAGGCGACGCCAAACAAAAAAAAGCAACAAAGGTGTGGGTCAGTAAAACCAGAAGCAAAGGATAAAAACAACTGGAAATGACATCACGTCAAACTGAACCTTCCATGTTCCAGCTGCAACTCTCAACACCAGTGGGATTTACTAATTGTTGTGCTTAGTGGTCCGGTTAACTATCATTAATAAAAACACACTGATAACAACTAGATTTGCAACATGTTTCCTAACAGGATTGTAGAGTTTTATCTGTCTAATTAAATCAGATGCCAACCCGCAGAAGTGAGATTAAAACATTTATTACTGCAGCTGTTCTGAGGTGAGAAACCTTAAAATTCAGATTTAAGGTAGCTTTCCAGCATTTATTTTTTTCAACTTGAAACTTTGACTTAATTTTTTTGTTTCTGTGTACAAAGGAAACAGTGTGAGGAGCTTTGATGTGCTCATTAATCACCAGAAACAGAGACACAAAAACTGCATCAAATTAAAGAAGGTAAGTCTTCAACATATGGTGATGTGAAGGTAAATTACCTTCAGGGAGCCTCACAGATTGYGCAGAAAGTAAGAGAGAGGAGGGCATTTTCTTGACTTAAAGGGCAGMGCTAACCATGACAACTACTGTGGTGAAAACTGTTGTTTTGTTAAGATGTGTTTGACCTGGTGAATTTTCCTGGTTTAAAAATCCAACAACTATACGTGTTTAGACAGGACTATAATAAAAACAGATTATATTGAAAAATGAGAAATTTATTGCCACATTCATTTTTCTCAGACAATTACAAAGGTTTTCTACAAAATGTAACCATAACAAGGGGGCTTTCAGCTTTTGGAAATACCCTTTTTATGTTCCAAAAATTATCTTGGCAGAACTGATTGCCCCATTTTCTGGATGTTTTTGAAAAGGAAATCAGGCCTGGGGGAAGRCCAGGTCAGTAAACTGCAGCAGTCATTTCCCCAAACAGAAGATATGGTTTTCTTCAACACAGTGGTGATTGTGGGTCATCACTGTGAGCTTGAACTCAGTTTTTCAAGCTTCATACTGTCTATCAAGCTTTAACTACACAGTGCTCTAACAGCAGACATTTTCCGACTAACTGTTGTTTTTTTCTTTGCTGTCTGGTTTTGAGCAGGGAATCCCCCTAAGTTTGAGACACTTTTATCCAGTCTGTGGTTCTCCACTCAGCTTGGAATTTCAAATCATGCAGCATTCATTGTACCACAGAAGTGGGGGAAATACAGCTGTTGTCAACAACTGCAACTTCTCATTAGCAGTTAAATAGTTCCCCCAGTTTGAAAATGACATTTTACCAACATATTGTACRGTTTTACCAACATATTGTACAGTTTTACCAACATATTGTCTTAACATTAGTCTCTAAAAACAAATGAAAAGAATAAAAACTGAGGGGTTTTGGAGCTGAAATGTAACAGAGGATTTATGTTTTATTATTGTTTTTTAGCCCCTCGTGTTATTCAGCATTTCAAGGTATTTTCTTTGCTTTTTCCAGCCATAATCAAACTTCTGCATATCCCACTGAAGCAGGGGTGGGGCCTGAAGGGGGTCCACAGTGGCACTGATTGACACCCCCCCCCCCACCCGCGCCACCCCAAATAACTGACAAGTGGGTGTGGATCTTTATGACGGAGTATTAGGGCCACACAACAAGATTTTTTTTTAATTACGAGAATAAAGTCATAATGTTATGACATTAAAGTTGTATGAAAATAAAGTCACAATATTATGAGAATAAAGTAGTAAAATTACGAGACTGAAGTCATAATATTCTAAAATTAAAGTTGTAATACTATACCCTTACATGAAAAAAGCRTTCCGTTACCACTACATTAAAATAAGGAATGTTGAGCGACTTCAGTTGTTCTTTAGTATTGCTTAAAATAAAGAGTTTAYATTTTAGCACATTAGCATCAAATTATCAGTAGCAGGGCTTGGAAAATGTGCAAACGACTATATGATAAACTGAAGCTGTATTGTAATTAATGGATGCATTGACAGATTTAGTCGGCACGTAGTTCATTTGGATGAAAGCGTATTAATCTAACAGTGACCCGAGTCATCGTTGACTACTTTATAAACACAGACCCATGGCTGTACACAGCTGGTGTGGGGAAAATAAGGAGGAAATGAGGAATGGAAAATGGACACTTCATGTAAGATTATGACTTTTTTTCTCATAATATTACGACTTTATTCTCGTAATAACAAAAAAAAATCTCTTTTTGTGGCCCTAATATTCCATTGCAGATTTTTGATTTTGTTTTTGCATTTAGAATTCAGTAAAGTTTGTTTTCAGCTGCTTTTACACTAATCTTCAGCTTTGCATGTCTAAAAATGGCTGAATAATTAGTTGTGACTAGCTTAGTATGTTTTTTTGTRATCATTCTTAGCTTTGATCACACAAAATTTTAGCTTAATGTTTTTTTAAAAGCTGAATTAAATTTGGATTTAGCTGTGCAGCCATCTTGAATGCTCAGAATGCTTTTCTCTATTTGTATGTGCCCCCCTTAAAATAAAAACACCTTGGCCACCCCTTGCAAAAACATCTAGCTCTGCCCCTGCACTGCACAAGGGAACAGGCTTCAAACAAAAACAGCACAGCAGAAAATAAAGACAGTGATAAAGTTGCATTGCTRTAAAAGAAAAGTGATCAATATCAAAATTAAGTTCAGTTATTAAAATGAATACCAAACAACAGCCAGTGATATTTGTCTTTTAAAGTATTGGATTTGTAGCTCAAATATAGCTCAAAAAACTAAATTGAAACATGTTTCTATTGTCCAAATGAGGGAGGAATAAAGATTTTCTCTATTCAGTGGAGCGAAATCCTCCAGACGGCCGGAGGCTAAACGGCTTCCATTAACCTGGACCATGTCCCTCAACAAGGATCATTACCAACCATTCATGGCTGAACTGCAGAAGAAGGAGATGTAAGTACTTGAGAACAGCCAGGTTGTTGACTCGTCTGAGTGGGATTTACTGTGTGARCGAGTGTGAGCTGTCAGACTGAGTACTTTCAGCTCGTTTCAAGGGTTTTCGAACGTAATTTGTACCGTTAAAAAATACATACAGGACCTGCCGGAGAATGTGAGGAGTGAAGACTCAAACTGTGTAAAACAGCTGCAGATAAAATCGCTCTGAAGACAGCGGGTAGAGAGCTCTTGTATTTTTTAAATACGACTCTTAAATCTGAATGAAGCGCGGCGAATCACAGCGTGAGCCTCACACATTAAATGGAGGAACAGAGTTTTGTGCTGAATGATTTTATGTTTCTACATGGCAGAAACAAGGGGAAAAAACCTCACTAAGGAGGAAGGGCCATGTGGTAAAGATGCTTGCCAGGTGTGTGTTTGTATTTAAGCACAAACAGGGGGCATGACTGACTGAGAGCGCAGAGAGACTAGGCCAACATCCTACAGGGATTATAACTCCCATCTGCCCTGAGATTTACTCGTTTTCCTTCAGTGCTGGAGTCTGCCAATGTTGGATGGAGATATTTGCTGCTCCCATTCCATTTGGCTCTCAGTCCTGCAGCCGTGAAGCTTTTATCTTCTATTCCCTATTATTTACTGTGAAAACAAATCTGTCAGCTTCTCTCACAAAGGAAAGAAAAAATGTTACTGCGTTTCCAACAAGCTCACTTTTTTATTACATAAGCTGGTATTATTTGTCAAACAAGGGAAAGCCAGAAATGTGCTTTCGTATTCCTGTGTCTCTTATTTTAATCTTTTGTTTTCTAGGCAGATTTATGGGTTTGGAGGCTTTTTTAAAATTTTTGTTTACTTAGTGTTTTTACCTTTATTGTCTTTGATATCCACCGCTGCCTGGGCCTCCAGCAGCAGAGAGATCAGCTCCTTGTTACCGCTCAGGGCAGCATGGTGCAACGGTGACAACCTTTAACGCACACGGACATGGATTATTTGTGGAAAATACACACATGTAGGCTGTGTTGAGCCCTGAGTATAACTTTGCTGAATTAATCTTCAGCGTACAGCCGCTCCACCCCTCAGCTCTATTGTGAAAGATGGGAGGGTGGGGGGGGTGGGGGGTGGGATGACCTACTTCCATTAATAAGCAATCTTGCTACCCTGGAGTGGAGCGTACAGGCAGGGCATCTATGTGTGAATGTGTTTGTCTGTGTCTAATGGATCCCTCGTGAATATAAGAGTCGGTCCCCGGAGTTAAATCAACGAGTCATCAGTCATTACACGAGGAGCAGAGCCCAATTATTTGACTCCGACCAACACGATTAGAAAAATGGTCGTTATTCGAAGAGGCAGAATTACAAGCCGAGCGTGAGCACATGAAGGTTTTCACTAATTTTGTGCTAAATATAGATCTGGCTAAAAACATCAGTTGAAATAAACATAACAAGGGAGAATATATGAGCAGATTAGAAACACAGTTTTTGCCTAATGTTAAAATTAACCGCAATTAGAGATGAGTGAGATTCTCAGACTATGATGACCTTGAGCAAAAAAAAAAAAAAAAAAAACAAACAAACAAACACATGGTTACAGTTTTATGGTGCTAAAACATAAATATCAGAATGTAAGGTTTATTTGTTGCAGCTTAAGTGTCACATTTGATATTATTATAAATATTTATGGTTGAAGTTATATAACATTGTTATTTCTTTTCATGAATAAATTTAGGCAACAATTTAAATCTCTAAAATCCTGTTTCTGGTACATTTATTTAATTTGCTCAGTCTTTTAGCCACAGTAGATGATCAACACGTATTTAGCCCTAGTATTATGATAATGGGTTTTTGATTATTTATTTCACTGCCTTTTAAGAAAATAAGCTTTATTTTTCTCTTTTCTGTTTGCTCTGTATTTTGTTTCAGGTCTTACATTCTTGTCTTATTTCTTGGTTTTATCTCTCGTTATAAAAGTCAACATAATTTAAAATCACACTCTCTCCTAAATGAGGAAATCTTTAGTAATAGAATAAAAGGATTAAAACACCTCGTTTCAACAAAAAAAGATTTTTAATTTTTTTAAAGTAATAAATTAAATAAGATTTTTTTCGACAAAATAAGTAATCATTATATTAGTACAAATTTTATACCTGACAAAACCAGATGATTTTTTTCTCTCCCTGTTATAAAGCTTGGCTTTTCTCAAGTAAATCTAAAAGCAGTTCCCGCCTGTGTCTGTGTTCCTTTGTTTGTCTGTTAGCAAAATATTTTATAGGTCACTAAACAGATTCTTAAATAAGGTTATAACCCATCAATTTTACAGATACAGAGCAAACATTGTGTGTGGGAGTAGCTGACAGTCATTCCCAACACGAACTCTGACCGTCAAAAGATCGAATGTTTCAAAGTCTGTTCTGCAACAAGGCAGGAGATATGAAATCTCTCAAGGAATGCTAGTTTATTGTTTTCAGTTAAACCGGAAATGGATGAAAAAATAACAAAAGAGGGAAGTTGTGATAAAAGAGGTGTGATAAGAAGGAGCGGCAGCCTCTCACCCGTCTGCATCCTGGATGTTAACGTTAACTCGCTTCGCTGCTCCGAGGAGCTCTGAAAGAGAAACAAAAAGTAAAAAAATAATAAAAAAAAAAACACCAAAAAAAGGGTCTAAATTCAGAGGCAAATATGTTCAGTTGTGTTGTTTAGACTTCTGATATTTGACTCCCTGCTGGTGGTGTTAAATCAACACTTTCATAACTGTGACAACTCAAAAAGCACCAACTGCCTTTGAAATGGTTCTGACAATAAAAACATTAAGTGAAGGAGTCATGAAGACAAACTGAAGGCGCTTTGGAATTTAAAAACACCGTGATTTTGTATGAAATATGCAAATTTAATCCATATTTAAAATAAACATTAGGACATTTACCCAAATTGATCTTGAAGGCAAAAGGAGACTACATGAAACCATAAAAGCTCAATTGGATTTATTTTCCCATATTTTTCCCTTTTAAATAAACTATCTCAGTGCAAAGATAGCAATTCTGGCTTAACGAACAACCTTAAATCCACTATTAACAAAACCAAAAGGAAACAGTGAAAAACTGTTTGGACAATTCTGAAGCCTTAGCATTGAGTCAATGAAACTGAGCTGATTTAATGATGAACGAACAAACAATTAAAAGCAGAACAGGTGCAAGAATCAAAAATCAGGACCAGGTGTGAGTTAGAGAGCAAAAAACACAAAACAAATCAAGATAGCAGAATACAACACTCAAGTTTTATAACTAAAGACTTATTGATGACAGGTACAGGTAAAGATTTTAACACAACTTTTGTTGTTTCAAAACTTCAACCTATTAAATAAAACTGCATCTTCAATTGGCTGAAAATATAAAATGTTATTTCTCAGCAGAATTTTGCACTTCAGTCAGTTGTTTGTTTACCTGATCGGTCTAATTAATATTTACAATATTTAGTTGTTTGGTCAATAAAACTTATAATAAATATAAAAATAGCATCATTCCCTGAAGTCAAAGTTGACATATATTGTTACAAATTTCCAAACCCCAAAGATACAAAGATGATCAAACATAATCAGTACACAAATATGTAAATAAATTAAATAAAATACATGGATTTATATTTCTGAATCTTTTATTATGCTTCTACGACAAAAAGGCAGAAAACTTTAATTCTTTGCTTAGAAATATGAAAATATTTGTTAGGAAAAAGGTCGTTGATGTATTTTTTCTTGCTCATTATTATCTTTGCTTCAGAGCATCTCTCATACGATTGTGTAATTTCTATATGTGTGATTATATAACAGATCATGTGCACATATAAAAACCAGCATTAATTGTTAAGTGAAGCTGGAAAACAACAAAATGTCTTAAAAGGACTGAATAAAATTTGCATTTTTTTGTCATTTTACCTCTAACTTTTCATTATTTTTTGTTTTGTTTTATTTTATTTGGACAAACCCTCTTAATCCACTGGCTATAATCTGTAGCTGCTCTGTAATCTGCAGAAAAGCTTCTCCCTCTCCCTGCAGCTTGATCTGCTCCTCATCCCTTCATTCTGCTCTCACACTCTAATTTTCCCTGTAATTTGCTAAAGAGTGCGAGCTGATTGGTGCGTCTGCTGGTTCTGTTTACATTCTGCAGCTGACATCATTTTCCCACATGTGTGAGTGTGTGTGTGTGCACATGTGCACATGTGCATTAGAGAGAGTGAGAGGCTGTTTGTGCACACATGTAGTTTCCCCCACCCCCCAGTATTTCTGCTGGATTAAAAATAAAACTCAAACCATCCCCCTGGCTGATGAGCCATCATCTGAGCTCCATGGGAGAAAAGGAACCCCCAAAGTTTCCTTAATAGTTTTTATTACTCAGGATTGGTTCAGATAATGTTACATTTAAAAAAAAGCAAATTTCTTAATTAAATGACCGTTAAAGGTAAAGAAATCCAATTATAACAACAGCTGAGAAACCTGATTCACTATGACAAATCTGTGTTTCTTAAATGTTTGTGAAACTTTAGGATTATAATTTGAAGCTAGAGTTAAACAGGCATTTAATTGAATAACATTTAGGTTTGAGTGAAGTTTTAWGCTACATACTATATTAGTTATTTGTCCTTTATCACACCTTTTTAAGGCATTCTGGAGATTCCCTCACTTCTTATTCTGCCTGATTCTGTTGGTTGTTTTAAACGCTAATGTGAAATTAAATCAAATAGTTTTATTTTCCTTGACTACAGCACAAGAGTAATGTTTGTGTCCTTGGACTGGGGATCATATTCTTTTATCATAAATGTAGGCTTAACACTGAAACCGAGCTGCTGTTACCACAGCAACCCCTCAACATGCCATCCTCGGGCTGTCAATCACTTGGCAGGCTCTGACATGATAATAAAATCTCCGTCAAGCTGTAACCACATCGCTGTCCGATCCGGACATCATCACACGTTGAGATCTGGTCCTTCGCTTAGAACCAACCAGGCTGCAGCTACTGGTGTGAGCACACACCCAAACAACCACGAGACGAGAGTGAAGGGTTTCTCATGGGTTCTCCTTACCAGAAAGGTTCTGAAGTCCAGTTTGTCTCACCTCTAACCTTTCCTGCCATCATGCATTTAGAGTTTCAGTGGAACAAGTAGTCCAAACCAAAGCGTTGAGGTGTCTTCTCTCTTTTTGTTTTCAAACCTCACAAACAGTAAATCCAACAGACTCGGTTCTGTAATTTCCCTTTGGGATCAATAAARTATCATTCATTCATTCATTCATTCATTCAKTGGGTCACAGAAAATTAATAAAATGCAAAAAGCTTTATTTAAATTGATATCGTTAATCAAAGAGCTCAAGCATTCTTTGAAGAAACAACTGTCGCCTTTCATGCCAAACTTTAAGATAAAGTGCCTGTGACGTGCATATCCTTCAAAKACAAGAAGTCAAAGAAAACATGTTTATAACTGAGGAACTTGGCATAACGCACGCTGGAGGGACTTTGTTTCTCGGCTGGCCTGGGAACACCTTGGGATTCCCCTGGATGAGCTGGCCCGAGAGGGAAGTCTGGGTCTCTCTGCTCAGGCTGCTGCCCCCGCGACCCGATCCCRGATAAGAGGAAGAAAAYGGACRGACGGACGTAATTCACATACTTTTACCCATTTTGTCACATAACTGGCATATTTTCTTTTGAATTTGTCTCAAAATGAAACAAAGTGACACGAAAGGGGATCCCTTTGATGTCTCTGACTCTTCATCTCTCTGATAGAGACTCATAATAATCTAAACAAACATCAGATTCTTCTGTGTTGTCCTTGTGGCAATGCTCTGTTCACACGCACACTCCCCTTTGACATCACTTCCTGTTTCTTCATATTCAAATATCTCAAAAACAGTTTATCTCAGCTGTGTGAATTTTTTATCAGTGTTGTTTCTAAAAACACATTCCTATTCATTACAAAAAATGATGCCACTGGCTCTTTAATATCATCATGTTAAGAAATAATGTTATAGTTATTTTTGGTCAAACCTTGAAATTAACGTTGATCTCATGCACTTTTGAGGGAAGCGTTAGCTCTCAGTATGTGCTGTAAATGAGTCTCAGCCACTAAAACACTGCATTTTATCTTAATAGCTGCAAAATTCACTGAGTTTTATAGTCGTTGTGATTTTCAAAGTCAGCTGGTGATGGCAGCCGTGTTAAATTGGGTTGACTTTACAATTTAATCAGTTGTAGCTGTACGAGACTCTCTTTTATTTCAGAAATAAAAGGAAATATGAAATAATTTAATACCCCAAGAAAATAATGGGCGAGGGAGTCTTTAAGGGGCAATATAATGTAAAATCAACCTTTTTTGAGTTTTATATCATGTTATAATGTTATACTCTCATAAAAAAACATGCTCAAAGCCTTGCTTTGACTCATTCATGCATGTTTGAGAAATCCTGCAGCATTTTTAGGCAGCCATGCTGAGGAGCAANTAATGTTACAACTAATCGTGGATCCCTTTAAATGTAGGTCCCCTCCACCATTATTTGTTCAGGTTTTCAGATTTTTGATTTTCCAGTTTGTTTCTGAAACACAAGGATTTCTTGCACCTTTTGACTTTCAAGATATTTATTGAATTATTATTTTCTGAGAGAATCGTTAAAATCTATCTACTGGTTTATGTGTTATTGTGCTGAAACCACAGGCAAACAAGCAGAGAGAACAACACTATCGCCTTCAGCAGCAGGCTTTAATGGTGAAGCCAGGACTCTGCTGTCATACAGCAGCTTTATTGTGAAAATCTGAAACATCAGTCAGAGGAGTTATATTGACATATCACTCGCTTTAACCCTTGTTTTTCCTTCTACAACTAATATTTCTCTTTTAATAGACCTGCGGGTTTCCACTGACATCAGGGTTTGCCACAGAAATGTAACATCTTTTTGGTTTCACCCTCATTTCAGAAGATGAATGATGAATGGGTTAGAAGCCTCTCTCAGGGTCGAGGTCAGCATTTGGGCTGATTTAGACCAGGAGGGCCTGTCTTATTGTCCACACGGTGTCTTCATTTGAAATTCATACCAAATAAGTCAGGGTTTGACTGGCAGCCTGAATGGGACATGGGGGGATTGAAGCGGTGTAAGATGGATGGATAGGCTTTCTTACTGCATGCTAATTTCCACGTTCGGGTGATTAAGTTTATTATTTGGCCCGTGGCTGCATTAGCATGTGATTATTCTTGGTATCCTACAGAGAGAGGAATATTTAAGTTGTGAGAACAAAGGAGGATGACAATGGTCACTTGAGTCTTGTGTTTTTCAAAGGATGCAGGAAGCAGAACAACATGGAAGCGTTCAGCTCCTCTGGTCTGGGAGCGTGTTTAGCTCCGCGGTTCCCCTCATTCTGCCTCCTTTTACTCTTTTCTCCCTTGCTTTTCTTTCCTTTCCCCGTGCAAACATTCCTTCCTGACTCTTTTGTTTGCTAAGATCCAGATTACCATGGCTACCAACTGGCGCTTTATGAGCACCTCATCCCTCATCTAAATATTCCTAGTTATCTATGGTAATGAAATGCACACACCATTATCTGGCTTAATGAAACACACTCTATTGTCTC